CAGCCACAAGCCCCTCCCCCCCCTTAGCCAGAAGTCCACGTCCCCAGCCCCTTCTCCCTCAGACCCCCAGCCCCTCCTCCCTCGGGCCCGGGACCCCTCCTCCCTCACCCAGGAGTCCCAGTCTCGTCCTCCTCCTCCCTCAGACCCTGGAGTCCAGGCCCGCAGCCCCTTTCTTTTCAGAGCCCCCTGGGTCGCACCTTGGGGTTGGTGAGGCTGTTTCTGTTCCGGACGACTCCCCAGGGGGCCACACCCATGGCCACCACCTTGGTGCACCCCGTGCTGGCCGTCTGGTGGTCCCGCACAGCTACGCCAACATGCCGGCCGATGCCTGTGTGCAGCCCCCCAGTAACGATCCAGGCTCCTATACAGAGACGGAGAGACAGAGGGAGAGAAGTAGAGTGAGACAAAGAGGCACACAGAGCCTGGGGGGACGGAGACAGCATCCAGAGAAGTAGGGACGGCAGCCCAGGCCAGGGAGACGCAGCCCCCGCCCACCCTCGGTCACCTGTGCTCTGGGCAGCCCGCACCAGCCCTCGTCGCAGCAGGTCCTGCAGCCAGGTCTGGAGGACGGGGCCCCCCGATCCCCCCAGTACGGACACCACCAGGTTCGGCGCTCGGAAGCCCCATGTGCGTGTGACCAGACTGTAAACAGTAGCTGGATCCGTGCGGTCAGAGAGCCGGAGAAACTGTGGACACACAGGAAGGGGAACACGGGGAGGGGGACAGAGACCCAGAGACGGAGGGACAGAGACCAAGGTGGGTGACAGAGACCCAGAGAGACGGGGACAGAGACTCAGAGAGACAGAGACAGAGACCCAGAGAGACGGGGACAGAGACCCAGAGAGACAGAGACAAAGACCCAGAGAGAAGGGTAGACAGAGACCAAGGTGGGTGGCAGAGACCCAGAGAGATGGGGACAGAGACCCAGAGAGAAGGGGAGACAGAGACCAAGAGGGAGAGAGACAGAGACCCAGAGGTGACAGGCTCAGAGAGAGAAGACAGACAGAGGCGGAGGGGACAGGACGAAGCAAAGACAGGGATGGGCAGATGGGGAGATGCACCGTTCAGCTGGGCACCTCAGATCCTGCCCTGGGCGCCTCTGTGTCATGCAGCCCGCTGGCCACCCAGCCCTGCCCAGACATGCAGGCCTCACATTGCTGGGATTGCGGCCGGCCCCCAGGAAGTCCAGTTCCCCGTAGGCATCGGTGGGCTTCTCCGTGGTGTGTGCGTCGCTGTCCCACACGGTCACCACAGCTGCCCCGAACGCATCTTCCACGGCCACAGAAGGGTGGGCGCTCCGGGGGCGCCCACACTGGCACAGGGATCCTCTGGGGGTGTGAGGGTGGGGCGTGAGCCCAGGGCTGTCCCCCACCCACCCCAGCGTCCTGCAGAAGTGTCCACACTTCCGTAGAGGGCGCTGTCTACACTGACCCTGTGCCCCCCAAGGCAGTCAGAGTGCATGCCGACCCTGCACGGGCTCTGATCACCTCAGGGAGAGACTGGGGCGGGGACAGTCCCCCTTCTCCACCGGACAGAAGCCACAGCAAGCTCAAAAAAGCACCAGCAGGGAAGTCTACAGCCCCTCGCCCCGCTGGCACCAATGGACCTCAACTGAAAAAGCAAGGAGGGCCATCAGGAGGCCATCCTAGTCCAAACAGATATTCACCATAATCAGGAAAATCCAGAGAGTAGTTCACAGAGAGCTCATGTGCTAGAGATAGAAGAAGCTGTGTGACTTTGGGCAAGTGTCTTTACCTCTCTGAGCCTGCCTTGCCTCTTCAAATGAAACAACAGTAATAGACCAGCCTCCGTCATAGAAGGAGCCAACAGTGTTTCCTGAAACAAGGATTGCAGCCCAGCCCCAGTCAGAGACGTTTTGACATCAACTTCACACAGAGCTTTAAATAGCCTTGAAGAACGCAGTGGGAAATTCATCCTTTTTTCGTCTCTTTTTCAGGCATCTCCTTATGACTTCCAAGGAGAAAGTCTCTGCTGGGTGCTGGAATAACTTGCACGCCTAACCCTTGGTTTCTCTTTCTTTCTTTCTTTCTTTTTTGAGTTGGAGTCTCACTCTGTCACCCTCTGGAGTGCAGTAGCACGCTCACAGCCACTGTAGCCTCAACCTGCTGGGCTCAGGCGATCCTTCTGCCTAAGCTTTCCAAGTAGCTGGAACTACAGGCAGGGACAACCATGCCCGGCTAATTTTTTGATTTATTGTAGAGACGAGGTCTCACCATGTTGCCCAGGCTGGTCTCAAACCCCTGGACTCAGGCAATCTTGCTTCCGCCTCCCAAAGTGCTGGGAATACATGTGTGAGCCACTGCACCCCCTGCTTACTCTTTCTTTTTAACAGAAAAAAGGAGGCCTCAGGCTCAGAAAACCGGCCTGGCAGCAACACCCAGCTAGAGAGTAAATAAATACTTTTATTTGCTTTTCATCATATTTGTTGTCTATGGCTAGCTTCCTTCTCTTGTGGCCAATGGGACAGGCTTTCCATTTATGGTTATCACCACAGAAAACTTTTTTCCAGACCCAGGGTGGTAGCTCATACCTATAAGCCCAGTGATTTGGGAGGCTGAGGTGAGAGGATTGCTTGAGGCCAGGAGTTTGAAACCAGCCTGGACAACATAGTGAGACCTCGTCTCTACAAAAAATAAAATAATTAGCCAGGCGTGGTGGAGTGCACCTATATTACAGTTCCAGCTACTCGGGAAGCTGAGGCAGGAAGACTGTCTGAGTCCAGGAGGTCGAGGCTGCAGTGAGCTGTGATTGTGCCACTGCACTCCAGCCTGGGCGATAGAGTGAGACTTCAACTCAAAAAA